GAGGCCACCAAACCACTGAGCTAAATCCCCGACCTGTTTTTTTGTTTTGTTTTGTTTTTTTAAATGTGTGTAAGTTGATGGGAAAAGCACAGATAATCAAGTAGGAAAAGGAGCAAAGCACACAAACAGCCATCAGAGAAGGGAAATCAAACCATGACAAGCAAATAATTCACCCACGGAGCAATGCACAGTGTACTCTACATTCATCAAGACAGGGAAATTTTTTAAAAGCAAAGACACTATGGCTGGAGGGAAAGGGTAGCCACACATTGGTGGTGGAAATGTAAAGTGACCCAGCTTTTGTGGAAAGCAGCCCGGCAATGTCTATAAACCTGAACGTCCGTATGGCAGTCAACCCAGCAACACCACTCCTGGGACAGTAGCTCCCAGAAAGGAAAGCAAACTGAAATCTATGTGCACAGCCTTCACTGGAGTACAGCTGAGGAACTCCAGCATAAAATACAATGCAACTGTTAAAAACAGAGTGAGAGGGGCCAGGGATTTAGCTCAGTGGTTCCGCAGCCTGCTTTGCAAGCCCAAGGTCCCAAGTTCAATCCCTGTTACCAAAAAAAAAAAAAAAAAAAAAAGAGTGAGAGCTGGGGATCTCAACATTTGCTGCTGTAGAATCGCTTGGAGGGTTTATTAAAAGCCTCGTCCCCAGAGCTACTCAGTAGATCTACAGATGAGTCGAAAAATTAAACTAAAGCAGGTGTAGGGGAGCGCACGCCTGTAATCCCAGCACTCAGGAGGCTGAGGCAGGAGGATCGCTGTGAGTTTGAGGCCATCCTGGGCTACACAGTGAGACCCTCCCTCAAAAGAAAAACTGTGTTATAAAGTTCTCAGGTCATGACGATACTGCTGGTGCAAGGACAACACTGAGAATCACTAAGACACTGTCAAATGAGAAGAATGTGCTATAAAGGCGTTTAATGTGGTCCAACCTTTAAAAGTAACTCATATATATATATAGCACTATATGTAATAAGAAATTATATAAGTTTACTTGTGGGGGTGGTGGAAAACAAGAGGATGCCTCTAAAACTGGACGTGTACACGTTTTTAGATACACACACATCATAGTCCATGCTTCTATGTAAACATTATATAATAGATGGAAAGGAAAAACCTTTATCAAGTATTTCCTAGCTTTATAACCCTTCATCTAAAACCCACGGTAGGGAAGCCCCCACACCCTTTTATGACTGTGAACATACCTGATACGAAGACACAGGAGACGGGAGGTACGGGGAGAGGGCAGACTGAGCAAGCATCCTGTTGGGGGTGATGTTATAAGGGGCCGGGTAAAACCTGCAGGAAGGGACCTTATTCAGTCAGGGCTCACAGGAAATCACTGTAACAGCAGTCATTTTCCAGTAACTTGATTTAAAACTTGAGATGACACGTCCAAGTGCCTGGACGTGGGCCGCATCATTTTCAGGCGGCCTGCTGGGATTAAACACCCTTACCCATTCTGAAGGGCCGAGGCGGGGTCATAGGTCAAGGCCATCCCACCCTGTAAGAAAGAACACAGGGTTCACGTGACAAGCGCTCAAGATGAGAGCAGAAGCAAGCACGGATGCCGAAGCCAGGCTTGTACTTAGTCCCACTGATCAAGGTCTGGCCAAGTCCCAGGACAGCTGCTCCAGGGGTTTTCTGACTGCAGGCTGCAGAAGCTCACGCACATTCTACCTGAAGAGAACACTGGGCAGCGGCACGTCCGCTCCGCACTGGCACTGAACTGCACTGGCCAGCTCACAGAGGTCAGCCCGTGACTCCTCCCCACCTGTCCTCAGTGCCCTGCTCCCTGCAGAGGTTCTCTTACCATGTCTCCGTTCCTTGGCCAGGCCCGTCCGTTTTGTACAAACTTCCCTGGATTTTGTCGTTTCTTTGGCCCACCATCAGCAAATTTGCAGAGCAAGGGATCGGATGGGGCTGGCAGAAGAGAAAGCAGGTGGGCAGCTAAGTCCAGCCTGTCCAAGCTCCTCAGTCTTCACCACGGGCACCACCTTGGCCCTCATCCCAACCAGACGCCTCACCTGGAACTCCAGGGGGCGTCTTAATGAATTTTCCATTAAAGTGGCTGATGATCGCTTCACACTTCTCTGTGGACTCCATCCTAAGGAGCACAAGACAGGTCAGGCTCTGGCTCCTCCAGGATGTCTGCTCTCTGGACATTCAGAGAGAAGGGCCGGCCAATGCCCCACAAACGCTCCAGAAGTCACAGCTTCAGAAAAGGAGAGCTTCTGCCACGTGCATTCACGGTACACTGAAGAGGCCATTTCAACATCTAAGGAAGGTCCCCTTGATCAACTCCCATGTGGAATCCCCAAAGAAATAACAGAGATCTTCGAGATACTAATATTCCAAAGAAGACTGATTGTGGGCGTACTATTGTGTCTGGTACATAAATAAGGTAACAAAACTAACAGTAGCTGTTTTTTTATTTTTTTTCAGTGCTGGGGCCTGAACCCAAGGCCTCGTACATGCTAAAAAAAGTGCTCTGCCATGAGCTGCACTCCCAGCCCCACTATTTATTGTAAAACAGCCTTTACTCTAGTGAAATAGCTCAGCTAAGACAAGCCGGTATTTTTTTTTTTTGCCTCAGTTTATAATTATCAAGGCCCAGTTAGCTCCTGATAACACCATTAAGATTTTAGAAGTCTGTGGTAATAAAAAGCTATGGTGATAGAAAAAGGAATGTGGAAGCCAGGTGTAGTGGTGCAGCCTGTAATCCCAGCACTTGGGAGGCTGAGGCAGGAGGATTGCTGTGAATTCAAGACCAGCCTGGGCTACAGAGTGAGTTCCAGGTCAGGCTCAACTACAAAGTGAGACCCTCTCTCAAAAAACCAAAACCAAAACAAAAAAAAAAAAAAAAAAAAAAAAAAGAAAAGGAATGTAGAAACTTTTGAGTGAAAGTTTTCCCTTGGGGAAAGAGGAGTAAGGGATCACAAGACCTACATACCAGTGCTGGTCACCACCCAAGGCTGTCAGTGGCACAATCACGAAAGCCCTCTGGGTTTACTCCTCACTTGCTTTGTTTGATTGATTGATTGATTGATTGAGATTGATTTATTCTGAGACAGGTTCTCACTAATAAGTTCAGCCTAGCCTTGAATTTACTAGGGAGCCTGAACTTGAGGCAATCCTCCTGCCTCAGCCTCCCAAGTTCTGGGATTACAGATGTGCAACAATACACCTGGCCCATTCTTCATTTATTGTGGAGACAGCGTCCATCAACCCAATCTGTATAGTGTTGTACAGATCAAATGAGTAATGGATATAAACATGTTCTAAAAATTATAAGAGCAAGCCTGGGATTTAGCTCAGTGGTTCCGCTGCCTGCCTCACAAGCACAAGGTCCTGAGTGAGTTCAATCCCTGGTACC